TGCTCCTGCACCCCAGAGCCCAAGGTCAAGAAAACTGAGATGGGTACAGTGGGCTTTGGCCCTCTATGGGCTGTCGCGCCACTGAGTTCAGTTTTAATAATAGCAGTACTGGAAAATAAGTTTAAATTAGGGATACAAAAATATTTAAAGGAAAACAATACCTTTACGACTATTGTTAATTTAATGCTGATGACAACCAAAACAATATGGAAATGAATGAGGGAAATCTGGATCCAACCACATGATTTTCTGGCCAATAAAAATGCGTCGACAACAATGGAAAACGGTGTTACACCATTATGATTTTATGTTATATAGAGAAAGGCCAAATCATGCATTTTTTTCGATTTTAATTTTGTTAAAAAACATTTGAAAAAAAAAGAATTGGGAAAACCCAAATCTGACAGAAATATGAAGTTTAGTGCCAAATAATAAATTAAAGAAATAGACAGTGCAATATTAAAAAGGGGATTTTACTTCCTCCATAGGTGTAAATACTAAATTGCAGAATTTTTTTTAATATCTCAGATTTTATAAATAATCTATGTATAGAAATTAACATCAGATATTTATTTATATTTCGATATTTAAAATTCCGAGATATAATATATTGATAGAATCAATTAACTGAAATACAAAGAGTCAAACAGTTTATATATATCTACACACAGTCGAACTTCTATTTCATGAACTTCCAGTTTGCGAATTTCTCTATTTTGCTTTTATCTTCGAGGAACCAAGAACATTTTGGAAATTTCTTCGTAAAATAACTTTCAAATAGCAAAGTAAATTTTCTATTTAACGAACTTTTCATTGAGATCGGCTTTCCCTATTTCCCAAAATATTTCAGAGCATTTTAAACTTGTTAATGCATTTTATGGGGGAAATTACCTTTAATTAATTTTCGAAGCCATTGCTTTATGTACTGTTTTCTGCTTTCTCAAAAAGTTATATTAGAGGAAGCAGTAAAAAATTTTTTCCCTTTTTGTTTGCATTTCAAACGAAAAACTCAGTCCAAATGAAGGGCAGTAGTAATTAAACTAAATAACGCACGTGGTAATGTATGCTCAAAATTACTTTTGTAATAAATGCAGCTATAATTTTATACATAAATTTAGCTCTTTTGCTAGTTGAAAATGTATGTAGCATAACAGAGAAACACTGGATAATGTTTTGCTCTCTTCTTGCTTTTCATGCAAATTTATTTTATGGTTAAGATTTATAAAAATAAATAGTAGATACTAGTTTACAAGATAAATTGCTACTTTAATTATGCCTAATGTTTATGAACCCGTTTTGTGTTGTTCAAGTATTTTAAAAGGTTTCAACGAGTTTTCCACATAACGAACTTATTATCGGGATTTAGCGACTTCGTTAAATAGAGGTCCAAATGTACATACGAAAGCTGCGATTTGAAGCGTTGATTTGCGGAGAAATAGAGCAAATAATTAGCAGGGCCAGTAGTGTGACCTTGCTAATTATTATCGCATTGTATCTTATGCATTATATTTGTTGGCAGTTTAACTAGCTTCTAGGAGTTACCTTTGCTGAAATGTATTAATTTTAGGGGAACTGTCCTTGCATCAGAAAGGTTCTGGGTTCGAATCATCCCGGGCAAGGCATGGATGTTTCTTTCTCTCTATCTGTGTTCTATGTCCTTTCTCCTTTGTGTGTGAATGTGACCCGCCCTATAAACGGGTTGTGGTAGTGCGACGTGGGCGACGCTGCTCCACTGCCGTGGCTTCGCCACAGGTGCCCACTGGGTAACGAAAAGAGAGTTAGCAGTTCTGGCACTTTCTGTGGCCAATGGATAATAGTTCCAAGTGCCCGCCATTAGCAAAAAAAATTATATTTTATTAAAAATTTAGTACCTTGGTTTTAATATAAATTTATGGGACCATTTACCTTGCCTAATTTTACACACACGTCATTGCTTTAAATTCGCTTCCTGTGGGTGATGTGTAAAATTAACTGCCGCTTTTAATTGCAAGGTGAAAATGCTTAGTGTGTCACACCAAAAATGGTGGCTACAGCTTAACAATGAACCAAAATCAGTTGCAGACATTGTGGATTGGTGTTCTATAAACTACTTAGCTCTGCCATCATATTTAGTACTCAGTAGAGCAAATATTTACAGTAAGTTCACATAGAATTCAATAAAGTTACTTAACGAGACAGTCTTAATAAAGTGAAAATTCATGTAAATAGTCATTTAAATAAAATTAGCTTGCAAATGCGTTGTGAAAAGAAAATATGAAGATTATTTCGAATTATGCTTAACAGATCCTAAACCTTTTAGATTCGCGCCGTTTAACCGCTTCCCTGATTATCCCGAGTTAACTCGGATATATACGTATTGCAATATTTATTATCCCGAGAAAACTCGGGCATACCAGAATGTGTCTGTTTATCACGTTGTTACTCGACTGAAAAACAAAACAAAAACATCTGCTGTATTTGGACTGTACAGTTTGTGAGATCGTATATACGATGGTGACTGAATTTGCATAAAAACAAAAGAACAAAAATGGCGTATCACTTCACTAGTGTTTAGAAATTATCACTTTGGGTTGTTCCATGTTTTAAGAACTACCATACAAAGACTGATAAACTTTTTTTCATTTGACCGAAATAACTCGGGATAGTAAACTGAGGATAAATTAAGTTTTTACACATAAAAAAAATTTAAAAATTCAACTTAAAACTTGCGCATTATGTTTCGCTTTAGTTCCTTTTATTTATGAATGAAATACGAATATGTGTTAATTTTTCACAATTTTTTTTCTTCAAACAAAGTGGTAAGTTAAGCGGTTAAATTTCGTTAGAATGCTAGATTTGTTTTCTACGCTTGATTTCTTTCACACTATTTTGAATTGCTCAACATAAAGTTCGGAGAGTTAGTACCCGTTTGTTACAGTGTGGTAGAAAGATTAGAATCTTGTGGAAATTTAAAAACTGAAAAACCTATGAAATAGTTAAAACCCTTCGTCGTCACATTTAAGAATTCGAAGAAAGACTGGAGAAAATATGGCTTGCAAAAACAATATTATCATAAAACAAACAAAAAATGGAGAAATTACAAATATTATATTCTAACCTAAAATGTAAAACTACGAGGGAAGAGTGCAAACTAGAAAACATTACAGGCAATGAATCTGGAAGGACTTAAAATTTAACGAATCTAACAAAAGCAAGAATGACATTAAGACATACGACAAACTCAAAAACTGAAAATGATTTAGAACAATACGAGACTGAACTAGGTTGAAGAGGTTTCGATTTGTTTTTGATGTACATAAAAATACGATTTCTTAAATTAATCTTTTTTTTAAGTGTCTTTTCGACTTCCCCAATTGAACTAAATCACAGTTTTTATCCAATGGCAATTCTGTTAGTTTAGACACAGATAGCCGCTTGTTCCCAGATAGAACCCTTTGTGGATAATTTCATTGAACAACGAGTATGACAATACGGATAGAAGTTTGCTACACTATATATAATTTTCAGTGACAAAAATTGGTAGAATAACTTTTGCGAATAAGATTTTAAAAAAGATTTCTTGTTCAATTTTTCACCTCTGAATTCGATCGATGTTACTTAAATGTTGTACGTTTTGAATGTTACTTTGCCGTACAATTCAAAAGTCCCGTAGTGGACTTATCGTTAAGACACGGTTCCCAGTAGATCACCGAAGTCAAGCATCACTGGCTGCGGTCAGTGTGCGGGTGGGTGACCACTTGGATCAGTCTACGTAGGGACCGAGGATGTGCGGTATGGGTCCTCTGTAAACTGTTCTACCGTGAAGTGCTCGACTTTGCGTGCAGGTCGTCGGGCTACCGAAGCGGGAATGCCATCCCCTCTGTAGAGGATCAAAATTGTGATGGCATGTCTTCGGATCATCCTCAGGGATGTCTCGGAGACCGTCGCCACTAGCCCATTGTGCAGCTCTAGTGCGACGTAAATGAACCAACCAATTCAAAATTTTAGAAAACAAAATTAAAAAGGTCCAGTAGCGTCGGTGTTCGATCCTGAACTCCCGTAAGACGCATCGTGTAAATGTGTAATATAAGTGCTCGTAAAATCTGTGGAATCAAAAGTCCCGAGGCTGATCTCCGAGCAGTACCAAGGGTACAGACCATCGCCAATGGCCATTGTGCAGCTCTAGTGTGACGTAAATAAAGTACCTATCTACCTCTGATGGTATTTTTATCTAATGTGTACCTTGAAATGTTTGATGCTCTTCGAAGGTGTCCATGACCGAGCGGGCTCTGTAGAGTTGAGATAGCGGGTTCATATCCCACCGTCAACCTGTTGTCTCTGCAATGTTCTAATGTGTATTATCTGTTCTTAAATTTGACAAATAACTTATGAGCCACCTCTGTTACGAGCAATACAGTAGTTAAATTTTATTTCTCATTTTTGATCCTATCAAAATCATCATTTGAAAAAAAAATCATTTTGATCAAAATACTTACCAAACAAATAGGGCCGAATTCAAGAACGCAATTATTGAGAATAGTGATACGCTCAAAATTGATTCATCATTCACTCATTTTTGAGCAAAATGAATAGTCTCAAAAATGACGCATCCTACTATTTGCTCTTTTTCAGTAATTTGCTGACCCGCAGTGGACTGGACGTTAAGGCACGGTTCCCAGCGAATCACCGAAATCAAGCATCACTGGCTGCGGTCAGTGTGATGGTGGGTGACCACTTGGATCAGTCTGCGTAGGGACCGAGGGTGTGCGGTATGGGTCCTCGTTAAACTGTTCTACAGTGAAGTGCTCGACTTTGCGTGCAGGTCGTCTTGCTAGCGAAGCGGGGTTGCCATCCCCTCTGTAGAGGATCAAAATTGTGATGGCATGTTTTCGGATCATCCTCAGGGATGTTTCCCAGACCGTCACCAATAGCCCATTGTACAGCTCTAGTGCGACGTAAATGAACTACAACCCAGACCGTCACCAATAGCCCATTGTGCAGCTCTAGAGCGACGTAAATTAACTACAACTACAACTAATGCTTTGTTATAGTTCGTTTATTTACATTTTTTCTAAGAAACGAAGACTACCGATTTTACCGATTCTCTCAGGCGTGTCGTATCAGTCTCGATGTTCTGTTCAAGATGAAGTGTTCTACTCTTAAGTGCTCGACTGCAACAAGATGAAAGGTATTTTTTCTAACTCTTTAAAAATTTAAGTATTTTGTTAACAATTACACTACAGGTATTGTACGTTCTTTTAACAAAATAAAATCTATGAAAACCTCTTTAAGATCTACAAAGTCACAAAACAGCGATATTTAACTATAATTTCTATCGAAAATGAAACTGTAGCAACAATTGATTTTGAAAATTCTATAAAACTTCTAAAGCACGTAAAACTAAAATGTCCATGTTTATATATTTCTATGTCGTAAAAGCTTACATTGATTTAAAATACTACTTTTAATAGAATACATGAGGTGACATTCATTAAACCGACCACTTTCTTTTTTTTTTTTAACCTTGAAATCGTTATTTGTTTTCATCGTGTGTTTCTTAAATCAACATTCAGGGTTGATTTATAATTTTCTGGTCGTAATAGTGTGATTTCAAATATAAAAATCAATTTCATGCAGCGTTATGACAGAGAGAATTGTAAGGGTTTTTTAAAATAACTTTTCCAAATTTGGGTTTATGAACGCTGTTTTCAGTATCGCCCGGGGAGTGAAAATGTCTTCCGAAATGTACTAATAAATTAGTGATTTTTAATATGTAATATGCTTGAATGTAATCAAGGTTATTTTTTTTAATGAATGATTGATTATTATACACAATTTTATTCTGTACATATCAGCAACAAAAACATTTTTAATTATTTCTACAGTGGATAAAATAATTTATTTGAACAGGTCCATCTAACACGAAGGCTTAAGTTGAGTTATTTACTATTAGCTTAAAATGACTATTTTCTTAACTTCTAAGCTAATAGTCATTTTCCTGGCATTCAAAATGTGGTGAATTTCTATTTTTTTTTTTTTTCTTGAGCAAACTACACTGCTGTCTGTAAGATATTAATAAATGTAACTAAATAAATATACAAAAAAATATTTTAGATTTTTTGAAGACTTTCAATTTGAAGAAATTTTTTGTTTTGGACTGTCATTTTTCCAAAGAATCACCCATATATCAAAGGTTTTATTTCATTTTATAACCGTTGCTGAACAGCCTTCTAGAATTTAATGTTCAAATCCGTATCATTGTATTTTGAACACAACACAGAAGACAAGGGAACTCCTGAATCAAGCATTGGGACAAACTATTGTTAGTGAAGGACTATCTTGAAGGAAAGAACCAGAATTTGAGGTGCATGAGGAGGAAAACCACTAAACCCTCCCACAGTTAACACGACAACAAGGGGATTCTAACCCCTGAGTCCCCTACCACAGACGATTTTACGCCAACACTGATATTTTACGCCAGCACTGTGGTCGGAGCTAGCCGGGATCAGAATTCGTATAAAATTAACTCGAAATTCGAACCCGGGTTTGTTTCACACCTTTTTTTTAAATCAAAATTTGAATACATCTAATGAATATTATTGTCATGCTCTCAAATGAAGTTGAAAAGTGAGTTGAAATTTGAAAGTGAAATAGGAAATATAACGAATGTTTAGTTTCTGATAATTATTTATAAAATCACGCTCTTCTGAAATTCGTCTTGAACTTCCAATTATTGGATTGAATGTTTTGAAGAAAAAATATCTGATACCCGTTTTTCTTTCACATTAAAGTATGAACAAAACAACCTTTCCTATCATGAATAATTGGCATAGAACAGGTGGAAGATTCGAACGTTTTCGTGAGTACACGATAAACGTGCTTCGAATATTTTAATCACTTTGGCTTACATTACATACATAGGCGTAGCGTGAACGAAATTTTTGAGGGTGCACAAGAGCATATATATATATATATATATATATATATATATATATAAAATATAGAGAAAACATGGAAAAAATTACAGAACAATGAAAAAAAAGGGGGGAAATTATCCAAAAAAAGTAAAAAAAAAAAAAATTTAAAAAA